CTTCCGTTATCAGTGCAAGGTAGTGCGTCAACTACGGTACGGAGCAGACAAATCGAAATGCAAGTGCTTCACAAAACAGAAAACCTAAACTGCGGAGACACTCCTTTGGAGTAAATTAAAAATGGACGAATAATTTAATCGTACAAGTGAGGAAACTTTTTTTACCGCTTTTATGATATAAGAACACGAGACATCTTTTAGGAAGATTAAAGAATGGGGAAAGAAAAACAGATTTCAATTCAAATATTACTACCATAATGTTGGATAAGATCGGCAGGAACGGTTTAAAGCAAACATGTGATTTACAATGTATTTTTCTCCTTTCCTTCGGATAAGGACAATACTCAACTGTCATTGCAAGCATCTCTTTTCTATTGAACTGCTTTCGTGCTGTATTGCAAAAATCCGCATCCAAAAAATAAGTGTGCACGGCATGCTATTACTTGCCAACTTTGTCATTCATACCGAATGGACACTGATATACACATGCAACCGTACTTACTTCGATTCTTGGGATGCTTTGGTCAACGCTACTCGAACTGATAAATAAACATTCATTGGTTTGGCGAATTTGACATGCCAAGATGACGTACTCAAAGCACTTCTTTGTTACGTTTCAGATCCACAGAGCAGCAGAAATGGGATTCGTATCGAACTGTCACAGCTGTCGCTGGTGACGCGGCTCCAACCGATCGCACATTAATCCCAGCAGCTTCTTGAGGTTATAGGCGTTTTGCCTTCATTGCACTTCATTCTGAAGAAATAAATGCAACGAACTTTCATTTGCTCGTATGCGCCTGAATTACTGCCTTCAAAACTCTTTTCGTAGCTTCAACGACATTACCTTCGCGGCGACCCCTCGAGCCGTATCAGTTCAAAAGAGTATATTCCACTTTTCGTCAGGTTTCCAGTGACATGTACATATCTAAATAGCAAAGATATTTTGGTATGAGCGCTGAAAACTGTCACTGCTTTTTACCATAAGTAAGGAAGTATATCAAAATTGACAGATACGAAAAGCGCTTCCTCGAAAATACAGTTTGCTCCGCCAATCGCATTCAAATACACCATTTGCTAAAACGTATTCATCAGTGCTGCGATCGTTTGCTGTGCTTCATCATTTTTGGCCACCTCGTCATGGCTTGAAGCAGATGAAAATGATAAAGTCGGAGTATGGCATTTAACAACATCTAGATAACATGTATTATACAAGATAATGCAGCGAAAAAAATTGGAGAGAATATGCACTCGATAGTACATTCGATGGACCTTCAACCAAAAGTTGTTCTTTTGCTGGGTGTACTATCCACCTATAAGCAGTTAATTCTCGACATATTTTCTGAGCATTTCTTGTCATTTAGCCAACTTTGTAACACATGAGTTACGTAGCATTTCTATGAGCTGAAAGACTAAGAAAGTACTAGTCTTTCACATGCCGGTTACAAGCTTTATGAAGATTGAGTGAAACTGTTCTGATTATGAGGTTACCTTGGCTCTGAGAAGCCAATTTTGATTCCACTGGATAAAAATATTTCTCTTATTCACGATGGTTTACTGTTTCCGTTAAACAATTTTTAAATAACACCTGATGATAACATAGTTCATTGTACCATATCTCTGAAAGTTTGATAAGATTAATTGTATATTTCCATAATTATACTTCATTATCTAATTATTGGAAATTTACCTGTAGATAACTATTTTACTGTATATTTTGATCAGGCGTACACAACAGAGTGCGCAGATGACATTATGTTCAGGTGCATCTGCAGGCGATATGCTATAAAATATACGTTTTCGAATGGTCTCTGTTACAATGGAATTTTTGCCGATTATTCAAACCGCGTTAGAAAACTGTGTGCTGATTCTGGTGCCTTGCCTGATCAGCCACGG